AAGCATAATGGATATATGTCCCAAAGTTACAGAGATCATGGACGTTGTGAGCGCTTAATAATTGTACAGACTTCTGTCAGTAATACTTCTTGACATATTTTTAAAGAAGCTTTTCAAAATGCATGTCGTCAACCCCCATCCTCCCTTTTTTTGAAATATTTCTAGATCCACGCATGTTCACTTTAATACATTCTACATATTCCACTCTCCCTAAGTATTTTATTATGTCGTCCTGTTTCATAATCAAGATTATAAGATGAAAGCCTAATTCGACTCACTTGAAATTGAGCTGTGCAGTTTTCAACTGACGAAAACTACACGCCGCATTTTCGTTTCACGGGGGGAAGGGGATATTTTCCATTTTCCACTGCATTCTATGGCGGAAAACATGTTTTAACAGAATTACAGAGTAATCTTTTCCAAATAATTATTGTTTTGAAACTTCGTTTATCTATATATATCATTCAGATATGCCTTTTGAAAATTGAGGTAGGTGACAAAACAGTTCTGAATACATGGTATATAAATCTCGGCGTTCGACATTTTAGCGGGGGAAAATGGACGTTTTATAGCGAAAAATGTGACATTTAAGCGGAAATTAAAATACATATGGACATTCAACACATTGTTAAGTAAAATATACTTATATCTATGCCTCTTCCGCTAGCCAGTCGGGCTAAGTTTTCTGCCCTCTGCAGGGGGAGGGGGTAGGATTTTGCGCAGACTTAACAATACTATTCATTTCTCAGGACTGTAAAATACAAATCTGTATCTGTATTACATTTCCTCTTCAGAGTTATTATTACAATTGCTGATACCTGCACTTACCTTTATAAATAAAAGATGAGTTGAGTTTTATTCAATACTTTTTAGCTGTGCCGTCGAAACCTTTGCTAGAGTCGGGAACTTAGAAATTTTAAAGTTCGTCATATTTTGCTGCCATTACATTGACTGTTTAAAAAATAAATTTTATCCGAGAAAAAAAAAATTCTCAGATTTTTTTTATTGATTTATTACAGGAAATTGTTTTTCTTCATATTAAATGCTTTATAATATTCCCGCTGAAATTAATGTCTATTCACACCTTTGCTGGTCCTTCGCCCACACATCTCCTATTATGTTCATTCATGTATTGTGATTTAATTATATACTTGGTTTTACAAAAACGCAATTATTGGGTGTTTTAAAAAAATATATAAAGATGTTAAAATATTATCCAATAATTTTTTGAATCGTAAATATAATTCATCTATTAGTATTACCAGCTGATCAGGGTGCCCTTTGCCTAAAACTCATTTAAAATTGCGGAAATGACACAGCGATTCGCATGACTGCATATTGTATCGATAAGGAAGTCATAAAACAACATGATGGGGTATGTCAATGTAAACAAGTTTCACACCTTCGCGTTCTTTTGTTTACAAAGAAACAACATAATTGCGTATAATTCCATGGATTGTAGTATTGGTACATGTACATGTATTAAGACCGTATATTGGGACTTCTTCTAAATCGATATACGTTTAAATCCTGCTGCATCGTATAACCCGTTAAGAGAAAGAAAAAAATCCAAATTATTTGTAAATATTAATCATAAATAAAGTTTTTAAAAGGGTGCTTGGATGCCCGGAACGTTTATTATAGCCGGAACCAAACTTACGCGGGCCGGAACGTTTATTATAGCCCGGAACCAATATTATAGGTATTTAGCGTTCCGGCCGGAACGCTAAGTTACCCGGAACGTAAATTATGCGACAGGGGACATCAAACTGTACCAAAATTCCTTGACAAGCCAAAAAAAAGGTCACCAGGCGTTATTATTGATCGAGGGGGCACAAGCATATAGTAGCTGTTTTCTATGGTATTCTACATATCTGGGGCACTGCCTATATATTGGAGCACTGCCTCCCCCCCCCCCCCCGGTATCTACGGCCATGTACAAATCGAACTCGGTATCTTATTATTAATTACAGCACGTTAAAGCACTGACATCTACTTGTCTTTATAATATCTAAAAAGGCGATATAATTAATTTTTCTGACAAGTCGACATCATTATCTGACAAGTCGACATATTTTTCTGAAAGTTGGCTTGTCAGATGTTATGTAGACTTCTCACATAATGATGTTGACTTATAGAATATTAGTTCGAATTGTCAGAATGTTGACTTGGCATGGACACATTTTCATGTTGAATATTTAAGCACGTGAGTAAGGTGATCTGACAAGGGGGGGGGGGGGGTATCTGCCACCATAGTGCATTAATTCAAAAATGAAAATTTTGTGATGTAACTATTTCCTTTTTTCATACTCCTCTGTTTCTTTTTTAATTGCTTTATGCCTTGTTTGGGGCAATATATACTCCATTTTGGGAGTTTCACCAGGCTGTAAAGATGACCTCAACCCTGACCTCATTGTCCAGTGACCTTCATTTTTAGTATGACGTTGAATAATAAAGTCATATGAGCAACAACATGCTCTAATGCTAGCTTGGATGTATCTTAGTGTCGGAGAGAGGGTCAGGAAGGTTCTGTAACACCCCCCCCCCCGCCCCGAGTTAAATAATGAACCTGGACAACAATATGTAGAGGCAGATTCGTTCGCTGATAGCCAGATTATAGCTCAGGATCCAGTTGCAGGAACTTTAGTTAAATTTAACAAGCCGTTAACTTTGCGTTAACGCGACATTAAAATTAATGGCGAGTTAAACCGGTTGCATGAAAGTTAACTAACACTTAAAGCTTAGTTAATTTTGTGATTTAACTAACAGATTTAACTGAGGTTACATAGGTACATTAAATATTTAATTAAACACTAAAATCAAAATTGCGGATTTGTTATTATTTCAAAACAACAACAATTGAACTGACAGTTATGTAACTTCTCGTTAAAAATTTAATGGCTAGTTACGGCATTAACTTTAAGTTAATTTAACTATCGTTCGTGCAACCGGACCCTGAATGGTAGAGCACCTGACAAATTAGTTCAGAATGGTGGATCACATGACAAATTATTCAGGGTCCCGGTGCCTATGTTCACATTCTGGTCTGGTCTGTCACATTTTTCTCCTTTCCTGTTACATTTGGTGTCATGACAACCCCTGGAATTGCAGGTGAAAGTCCTGCCAGGGCAAAATGTCAACCAGGGTTATGTCTTTGATGGCAAAAAGAATTTCAGGAGAGATTAAATGTTAAGGTTTGGGCCAGGAAATCAGCCTGGATAGCTCAGTTGGTAGAGCTATGTAGAATTGTAGCCTGTGATAGACAGACGTGGCAAAAACATTGTCTCCTCCCCACTAAGGTCAGACATAATGAACAAGAGGCCAATGGGCCACAACGTTCACCTGTGTAACTTTGGCCCTTCTGTTCTTCAGATTTTCCCCAAATTATAATACTTCTTGTGGTGCCACCCTACCCCTAGGGGTCATAATTTGAATACTTTAGAACATACACTACCTAAGGAATCTTCCATATAAATTTCAGCTTTTCTAACCCAGTGGTTATTGGAAAAAAGATTTTTAAAGATTTTTCCTTTATTTCCATGTAAAATTTTGATTTACTATTGTGGCCCCACCCTATTCCTGGGGGCTATGATTTGAACAATTTAGTATCTACACTACCCCCATGAAGCTTCCACATAAGTTTCAGCTTTTCTGGCCCAGCGGTTCATGAGAAGATTTTTCCTATTCATTCAACATAAAACTTCCCTTTGTTGCCCCACCCTACCCCTGAGGCCATGATTTGAATAATTTACAATCTACACTACATCAGGAAGCTTCCACATATTTAAGTTTCAGCTTTTCTGGCCCAGTGGTTCTTGAGAAGAAGATTTTTAAAGATATTTTCTACATATTTCAAAAGACTTTTCCTATATATTTCAATGTAAAGCTTTGATTCCCTGTTGTGACCCCACCCTAGCCCTGAGGGCCATGACTTATACATTAAACATAAGTTTAATTTCAGCTTTTTGGCCCAGTGGTTCTTTAGAATGACCCCATTCTATTTTTGTCTTTTCTTGATTATCTCCCCTTTGAAGGGGGCTTGGCCCTTCATTTTTACAATTTAAACTCCCCTTCAAATTCACCCAAGAATGCTTTGCACCAACTTTGGTTAAAATAGGCCCAGTGGTTCTTGAGAAGTTGAAAATATGAAAATTTTACAGACGGATGATGGACAACAGGTGATCAGAAAAGCTCACTTGAGCTTTCAGCTCAGATGAGCTAAAAACATTTAAATCTATAGGGTTTCAAATGGACTGTACCCGGTTCATGTAGGTGTTTGAGAATAATTCATAAACATAAATCTATTTAGTCAGCCACCAAAGCCTTTCATAACTCCTTTGTAATACAATGTACTGGTAAAAGTAGAACATAATTCCTACGTGAACCTGCTCTAATCATAGACAGCATCACTAGCACAATTGGCAGTATGCATTCCAATATTCAATATCCATATATGCAGGAAGTGACAAAGATAGTCTGATACTTATAAATTACCCTGTTCCAAACATCTACCTAATAAATGCATGTAGGCATAATTCATCTAGAAATTGTATGTCCAAGTAAAACCAGAATCAGGATTCAGGTAGTGTATGTTAAACTCAAATAATTGAAGATATCTTTAAACATTTGACATTTAAAAATTTCTTCAAATAAATAGATATGATATTTTTAATTGTTGATATTATTATTAATTTTTTGAATTGATGCACACAATAATTTTTGCTCTCTTCAAATGAATTAATGGATATATCAACAATTGAATTGATGCATGCATCAAGTTCCAAATGACAAACTGATTTTTTTAGACCAAAAACTCTCAGGCCAATGAGAAAGAAATTTAAATTACCAAACATCATAGCAAAATATTTAAGCCTCTTTATCACAAAGCTGATCATAAGCTTAAATTTTTTTTGGTGAGCAGTGGAGGTGACAGACAAAATAGACAGACAGGATAAGGTGATTGATGGATGGACAGAAAGATGGGAATAACAACAATATAATTTTATACCAGAACTTTCTTTATTAAAAAAAGTGAAATATAATCAAATCATATAAAAAACTCATCACAAGTTTTATTCTTTACTGTGAACTATTACATGTATGTACTCATCATAAATATATGTGGACAACTAATGAAATGTTTACAAAACTGAAGAAAAATGTGTACAAAGAACAAGGTTCACTTAAGGCCTTTTTTGTCCCTGTGAATTTCAGAAAAACTGAAATTGCTTGGTTTTAGTTGACAATGCATTAAATATCATTTAGACCTTTGGTGACTGCGCATCTATCAAAAATGACGTAATTTTCTGACTAGTCAATGCATTATGATGTCATAAAATGTGTCATTTTCCTCATATCCTGAAAAATTCTACAAAAACAGCCAATTTTTAAAGCTATTTTTTGATATTTAATATAGAGCGCAACCTCTGATCTAAAATATGCAACTATTAAATGATAGAACTATTTCTGAGGATTACAAAACATGTTTTATATTTTAGATCAGAGGGTGCGCTCATATTATTTCTCTTCTGTGAAAGTACTCAAATATACTTGTTTTCCTTAAAATTCAAGAACATTGCAATTCCTTGAAGCCTGTTTTCCAAGACCTTGGCCTTAAGGAGAAAATTTTTAGTAGGTAATAAAAGCACTAAGTCTCTACTTTATCTTGATGCTTAAAATGGAACATAAAGTGTTAGTCAATAAATTGGTATATCTACAGGGCCATTTTATGCATAAAGTGAACCTAGCTCTTTACACATGTGCAGCAAGGTAATAAAACAAATTATTATTGTAAGCATTATATCCTCTGCTTGTATATCAAAAATGTACACATAATTGATGGATTGAATTCCAGATCAATTTACTATTAAGTATGCTTTACCTACTTTACAGTACAATGAAAAATCATATCAATTTGATCACAGTACCATTCAAACAGTGAAGTTGTAAAACAAGAGGCCCAGGGACCACATCGCTCACCTGAGCACTATGGCTAGAAAAAAGCAGAAATCAGTTCAGTCTTGAAAGGTTGAAAAGTTTAAATATAAAAGTGGTGGTGGTGGTGGGGGGGTGGGGGGGGGGTGGGGGGGGGGTCATGAATTGAACAAATTTGAATCTACATTATCTGAGGATGCTTCCATTTAAATATGACCAATCATGGCTTTGCTGTTCTTCAGTAGAAGATTTTTAAAGATTTAACCTATGTATTCCTATGTAAAACTTTGATCACCCATTGTGGCCCCACCCAACCCCCAGGGGTCATATTTGAACAAACTTGAATGTACACTATCTAAGAATGCTTCCATATGAATATGAATATGCATATCATGGCTTTGCTGTTCTTAAGAAATAGTTTTTTTAAAAAGATTTTTACTACGTGTTCCTATGTAAAACTTTGATCACCCATTGTGGCCCCACCCTATCCCTGGGGGTCATGATTTGAACAAATTTAAATGAACACTATCTGAAGATGCTTCCTTGTAAATATGACCAATCATGGCTTTGCTGTTCTTGAGAAGAAGATTTTTAAAGATTTTCCCAATATATTCCTATGTAAAACTTTGATCGTCCATTGTGGCCCCACCTGACCCCCGGGGGTCATGATTTGAACAAACTTGAATCTACACTATCTGAAGATGCTACCATATAAATATGACCAATCATGGCTTTGCTGTTCTTGAGAAGAAGATTTTTAAAGATTTTTCCTATATATTCATATGTAAAACTTTGATCGTCCATTGTGGCCCCACCCGACCCCCAGGGGTCATGAGTTGAACAAATTAAAATGTACACTATCTGAGGATGCTTCCATGTAAATATGACCAATCATGGCTTTGCTGTTTTCTTGAGAAGAAGATTTTCAAAGATTTTTCCTATATATTACTATGTAAAACTTTGATTGCCCATTGTGGCCCCACCCTATCCCTGGGGGTCATGATTTGAACAAACTTGAATCTACACTACTAGAGGATGCTACCATATAAATATGACCAATCATGGCTTTGCTGTTCTTGAGAAGAAGATTTTTAAAGATTTTTCCTATATATTACTATGTAAAACTTTGATCGTCCATTGTGGCCCCATCCGACCCCCAGGGGTCATGATTTGAACAAACTTGAATCTACACTATCTGAGGATGCTACCATATAAATATGACCAATCATGGCTTTGCTGTTCTTGAGAAGAAGATTTTTAAAGATTTTTCCTATATATTCATATGTAAAACTTTGATCGCCCATTGTGGCCCCACCCGACCCCCGGGGGTCATGATTTGAACAGACTTGAATCTACACTATCTGAAGATGCTTCCACGTAAATATGACCAATCATTGCTTTGCTGTTCTTGAGAAGAAGATTTTTAAAGATTTTTCCTATATATTCCTATGTAAAACTTTGATCGCCCATTGTGGCCCCACTCGACCCCCGGGGGTCATGATTTGAACAAATTTGAATATACACTATCTGAAGATGCTACCATATAAATATGACCAATCATGGCTTTGCTGTTCTTGAAAAGAAGATTTTTAAAGATTTTTCCTATATATTCCTATGTTAAACTTTGATCGCCCATTGTGGCCCCACCTGACCCCCAGGGGTGATGATTTGAACAAATTTGAATCTACACTACCTGAGGATGCTTCCACATAAGTTTCATATTTTCAAGCACAGTGGTTCTTGAGAAGAAGATTTTTTAATGATGCCATTAATTTTTCACAAATTCTTAATTATCTCCCCTTGGAAGAAGGTGTGGCCCTTCATTTGAACAAACTTGAATCCCCTTTACCCAAGGATACTTTGTGGCAAGTTTGGTTGAAATTGGCCCAGTGGTTCTTGAGAAGAAGATGAAAATGTGAAAAGTTTACAACAACAACAACAACAACAACGACAACGACGACAGACAACGGACAAATTTTGATCAGAAAAGCTCATTTGAGCCTTTGGCTCAGGTCAGCTAAAAAGACACCACCAAAGTTTTGCTATTATAATTGCCTCTTGATCACAATCAGTCTGTTCATTTTCTAGTTCAAAACATTGGTAATCAAAGATTACAAAGCTCACCTCGATGAAGTAATGCAAATCTCACATCATATTTTCTTTATAGTTAGTATGCATCGTGAAAACAATACTCATGCAAGTTCAGTGTAAGTAAGTCTTATAGTTCATTGGGAATTGACCTGTTCCAAAAACTTGAACCTGTTCACTAATCAAGAAAATGTCTTTCATTTCTACATCCAAAGCAAGTCTGGAATGCACCATCTATGCAAGTTAAATCATAACAGGCCATATAAGTATAAAGCTACTCCAAACACATTGTCATGGTTACTCATTTGGAAAATGTAGGTCAGATCCAGCATCCGAAGCAAGTTTGGTAGTGTCCCTCCCTAGATGCATCATCCATGCAAGTTTGGTCCAGATAGGGCTTATAGTTACTTGGGAAGAGACTTGCTTTTAAAACTTTAACTGGGACGCCGACGCTAACTCCGATGCCAACGCTGGGGGTATAGCATAAGCTCATCTCGACTTCGTTGGGGTGAGCTAAAAAGTATGTTGATTTTAATTTTAAATATTCTAAACTTTGGAAAATATTTTTCCCCCAAATTTGTCTGTAATTTGTGAAGAAAATTGTCATAATTCAAGTTTTTTGTCTGTTTTGAATCAAGTTAATATCAGCTCCAGATGTTGACAAGGCTACACTTCAGTGTTATAACAATGTCCTCAAGGAATTTCCCACATCTCCTCCAAAACCTCCTTATAATACAAATAAAATGAAAGGAAGCATCATTGTGCCCTATATTGAAAACTTGTATCACATGGGCTATACTAATTATAACAAGAGGCCAAAGGGACTTAACAGTCACCTGAGTAAAATACAACACTGTACAAGATCTATAGAAGTATAAAATTAAAAAAAAAATAAACTGATAGATGAAGACATGTTGCAAAAAAGATACGATGATAGGGATCAACAAAATAATTAGTCTAGTACCCAGTAGCATCATGAAGTAGACCTATTTACTTGCCTGTACTTGTCAGTGCTTATACATTCCAATTTCACACTGGCCCTACTGTTCTTAAGCTTTTTTTCCCTCTCTATTCACGTGAAAACATTTTGAACACATTGTAAACCCAACTTATCTGCAATGGGTCATATTTATAAATTTGAATCCCAAAACAATGAGATGCTTCAATATCAATATGGCTAACATGGCCTTCTGTTCTGAAGAAAATCTTTCAAGTATACTTGCATTAGGTAACATTTGATCTTTGGATTTGCCTCCATCCTTATCCAATAATTTGAAAAAAAGACTTGAAATGTATCCACACGATTAATAAAAGAATGTTTGCACAATTAAATGACTGTACTATAAAAGCTAGGCCGCCCTTTCCATAATCTTTGTTTTACACTGACCACACTGGGATTAACCTTCATTATACATGTACTTTGACAGGATTTGGTTGATCATAGAGACATTTATCAATTTATATGAGCTCTCTTTTGAATGTAGTTAAAATTACATACAATATGATTCTGCTAAATATTTCTAACTTTCATTAATGTGAATCATTATCTTTCGCTATGCTACAATTGATTTATTGGATTAAAGTTAAATGTGACTAGAATTCTGACCATTATCTTTCTGTGTAACCTCAGTCATTGTGCCTATAGTCCTAGTGGTCCTACAGAATTTTTTGGCACTGTAGTTATGTTCTGAAGTTAATTCTGATCCCCTCAAATTGCTTTGGAGGCAAATGTAGCATGGATGACCACATGGTCTGTAGGTATAAACATATCCTGTGGGCGCTGGTTCCTGTACTTGGGATACTGCTGGTGATGGGCTACTATTGTTAACATGTACCTGAAAACCAAGAATATACTGTATGTGTACATAAATTGGCGTATTCAAAATTTAGCGCATTCATTGGGTATGGAGTTGTTAACTTTGGCATAATCATGAATTAGCGCTTCACATGTCCGTGCCGTGTATTGTATAAATAAATGATTTATTAGCAGTATTCATAAATTAGTGCATCATTGTCTGCGCGAAAGCTTTTTTTAAGTACCGGTACACATACAGTAATTGTATACTTGTAAGTTATTTTTGTATAGTAATGTTTGACTTATATATCATCTCTACATATGTATTATAAAGATTATAATACATAAATTCATGGTAATTTAGTTTCAAGAGAGCAAATCTTCATTTTAATGAATTTGTACACTTTAACATCTGAAACAGCATCCATTTTTAACTGAAAAAAATGAAAAGAATAATCCTTTTTTTTTTTATATATATATATGTAAAAATATTTCCACACATACCTTTGGCTCATCTTTGATTGTAGGCTGATTGTGCTGCATACTCTCAGAAAATTTTGGATGTTCTGAAGCATCAGTTTCTGATTTGGTATGTTTAGTCACATTTCTTTTGTTAATACCTAGGTCATGCATCTACAATGATTGTTAATAAAACTAAAATGTATAGTTTCACAAAAAGACCTATATTAAACAAAGTAAATGAAATGGCAACTTAGAATCTTATTTGACATTGTTTGAGTATAAATACTTAATTGTTATTCATATGTGTCAAAATTTGTATAATACCCTTGCTTTTCCTCGTTTTGATTGCGCTGATTTGAAATTTTTTGTCTTTACAACCAATTTTTGAAAACTTTTTCCTTTCCCTGCCTTTGTTGCACATGTATTCACAATTGTTGGAACAGCATCCGGCTTTAATCTTTTGCATCTTGGAAAGAAATTCAATGATTCTGCCACTGGATTCCTTACAAAGCTTTCAAGTGTAAAATGGTCCTCACAAACAACTTTAGACGAGCTATATACAAATGTTTTGAAGCATAGTTTCCCATTTTTCAGATTATTAATCCATAGCCTGCATCTCTTCTTTGATTCAGCATTCTTCTTTGGGTTGGGTATTGTAAAGAAACTCTTCGTACACTTCCCCTTCTCATTCTTGCAATTTAGTGCTTGACAAGCAGGCATTTTTCTACAAAGCCCATTCCATGATTCAAATAAACACAGGGATTCTTCAGAGAGATTAACCTCGCAAAACAGACGAGCTGACGTCAAAACAAGTCAATGATTCGGGTTCCAAATGTATTAATTTTATGGTACAGCTGTCTTTTCGGACAACAGAATAATACCTTAAATCTGTTATTTATAGAGGAGAATGAACTCAAACTTGCAAATGATTTTGAATGAATGATGCACTCCCGACAAAAACGTACCACTACTAGAGTTAATATTTACATCGGGATCAATATTTGCACCTTTTTATCTAAAAGCTAAAACCATATCGGAACACTTAGTTCCGGTTTCACCACATGATTTAGAAACTTGCTACCCTTTTCTAAATTTGGTCTGCTTTTTTAGCTCACCTGAGCCGAAGGCTCAAGTGAGCTTTCCTGATCTAAATTTGTCCGTTGTCTGTCGTCGCCGTTGTCGTAAACTTTTCACATTTTCATCTTCTTCTCATAGTCTCAAGAACCACAAACTTGCCACAAAGTATCCTTGGGTAAAAGGGATGCACTTTGATGTCAGAAATTTTTGTTGCAAAATTGTAATTGACTATTCGATAAAATGTGATTCCTATTCGATGTTGTTATTCCTATTCGATAATTCGTCATTTCTATTCGATAATTTGTTATTCCTATTGGCAGAAATATAATTCCTATTCCAAAATATATCATTCATATTCGAAAACATGTGTTTCTTATCCGATAACATGTCATTCACATTTGAAAACATGTGATTCCTATTCGATAATTTTGTCATTCCCAAAAGAATAACAAGATTATTGAATAGGAATTGCATTTTTCGAATAGGAATGGTATGTTTTTCAATAGGAATAACCTGTTCATCGAATATGAATCATTCAATTATCGAATAAGAATGAAAAAAATTTCGAATTGGAATGACAAAATTTTCGAATAGGAATCACATTTTATCGAATAGAAATGATGTGTTTTAGAATAAGAATAACAAAATATTTGAATAGGAATAACAAAAAAGTATAATAAAGCAACATTTTACATGCCATTTTCAAGCGTTATATATTTTGAGACTTTTAAGATTATAAAAATACTGATTTTAAGATTTATTAATTGTTTTTAAAATTAGCATTAAAAAGAACTGTTAAATAATATATATATATTTCATTTAGCTTTTTTGTTCTATTGGTCTCTATCAAACATTTCTATGTACAGATCCTAGTCGTTTATTTGTGATAATTATACCTCTACTAGTTTTTCCCCTGTACAAAATTAGATGTGCTGAAATCGCAGTGAATGAATTAATCTCCGTTTTGCCTTGCGCTTTTATGGTCGCTTATGAAGTGAGCTAATTGAAATAACTACTTCGAAAGCTTTGTGTCGGCAATAAAACAGTATATCTCTGAGGGACTAAGCAAGATCCCAGTTCTCCACAACTAGGACCATTTCCCTCGGCTTCTCCTCAAGGAATTGGAATCTTGCTAACTCCCTCAAAGATATACTTTAACCAGGGACTATATATTAATATATAAGCATATATACGTCCCTGCTTAACTGTATATTGACTTTCAGTCTTCAGTAGCGCGAGAAAGGTTTATCATTCCTTAAGAGAGAGAGAGAGAGGATTCGCCGAATATGTAAGGACAAATTACGAAGCAATATATATGTTAATATCCAACAATGCAAATAAATAATCCATTATACCATTGGTCATCCATTAATTGCAAAAAAATACACAGGGATTTTGGTGAACCTGGCCTAGTTTTGTAGCTCAGCTGTTTATCACTTTGAAAAGAATGATGACAGAGAGAACATATGGTAGTATTATCTGTCCTCGACAATACTAATAACAAGATGTAGTGATAAGGATGATGCAATAGTGAACAACATGGCCCTATCAGGATTCCATATATAACCGATTGTATGACGCGATGGTGCGATAGCAGACACGATATACTGTAATGACGATGGCGAGATGGTACGATGACGATTAATCTAATGTTCACTATCGCTCCATCGTGCTATCACACCATCGTCTTCGCATTGTCGCGCCATCGCATCATCGTAATCGTGTTTTGGTTGACACTATCCGAGGACCCAAGTGAGTCAACTTCTTGGTTAAAACATTCCGATGATCAAAGATGCACCAACTAGCAAAGTCTGATGATCGTAAGCCTCAACTGACGAGGTTTGATGATCCTAGGCCGTGACCTACTTTTTGGTTGACAAACTCTGAGAACTACAGATGCATCAAATGCTTATGCTTGATTCTTAGACTTTTATTATCCGAAATATTTATATGTAGCCTTGAAATTCCCAAAATATGTCACTGTGATCTACTTTTTGTTGACAGAATCCAAAGACCCAACGTTTGATGATTCTCTTGAACCCTATTAGTATCCTAAATATTAAAATGCAACAACTAAAATACAAAAATTAGAAAGTAGGTCACCCAGGGATGGGTCATGTATTTTTTTGGTTGACACACTTTAGGACTGCATTATGCATCAACTGATCAGCTGACAAATTTTGATGATAATAGGCTTCAATTTCTAACAACTGCATCAAAATAAATGTGAAAATGAATACTTGCAAAATTTAAAAAGTAGGTCAACGTGACCAACGATCAGGTCCCAAGATGCATCAACTGACAAAATTTGATATTCCTAGTCCTTATAGTGGATAAAAATCAAAGTTTTAAGGAAACATCATTGTAGTTCAAATTTGAAGTTACCTTGAGACCACACCCTTTACCTCAGTGTGATGCCTTGTGACAAGACCTCCATTAGATACCAACAATTATGACCCTATGACCTTGGCCTTGGAGTTTGACCTACTTTTGAAAAACGTTATCCTTGTCCATATCTTGATTGGTGATGGGGCTTTCATATTCCACAAGTGTATTTCTTGTGACAAGACCTTCTCTTGGGCACCATTTATTTTTGACCATTTGACCTTGACATTTAAGTTCCTTTTCAAAAAACTTTAACCTTCTTTAACCTTTGCCATAACTTTTCAAAGTTGGTACTAGGGCTTTCATATTTAACAGTTATATTCCCTGAGACAAGACTTTTCTTTGGGTAACAACGCCATACGGGGGCATCAGTGTTTCATAAACACATCTTGTTTTTAATGTATTTGTTCAAATTAGCTCACGTAGGAGGGAAAATGGGGTGTATGGATCAATGCAATGTTCAAAAAAAAAAAAAAAAGACAGATAAAACATTGGTAATTAAAAATTACAGAGCTCACCTCTACGTATGTTATCTTAAAGTAATCAACGCCCCACACTAAACAAATAATCTAGTGTGTATTCCTAGATGCAATATCTATGCAATTTTGTTCCAGGTAGGACTTGCAATTACTTGGGAATGGACCTATTATAAAAAACTGGTCACTCATCCAGAAAATACAAGTCAGATCTAAGATACAAAGCTTTGCTTGTGTGCATCCATTGATGCATCATCCATAAATGTTTAGTCCAATCATATCAGAAGCATCATCCATGCATTTCCGATCAATATAGGGCAAAGAAGTACTTGAAAAGAAATCTGATCCAAAAACTTAGACCTAGGACGCCGACACGGAAACCTGCGCCGAGGGTATTACATAAGCTTCCTCAACTTCATTGAGGTGAGCTAAAAAAGGATAATTAAAAGATATTTAGAAGTCTCCCAGGAATGTAAAACAACTTCTGTAATCATAAATGTAAATATATTTTATACCTGTAAAAAAATTAACATAAGGCTTCTGCAGTAGGCAAGATAATAAAATCTGGAAGGATTCACTGCCCCTTTTTAGAAGTCCCGATAGGTGAGCTAAAGGATACCTTATGATTATTAAAGAACATTTCAGGGAAACTGCTTTTTTAAAGGATTTGATACTTATTCTATCTCAAATGTCAAAGGACTTGTAGCAATTGAAAAAATGGAAATTTTGTCTTCTGAGCCTTACTTAAAAATTGCAAATGATAATACACTGTACATAATTTCTTTCTTTCATTTCTTCACGGACTTTGCTATGCTATAGAAATACACGTCTACATAATTAAGTTTAACCTAACATTCACTTAACCCACGAATGACAACAGAATTAACATGTGAAAGTTTCTTATTGGAGGTATCTTAAAATATACAAATCCAACAAATTGTCTCAAAAATAAAAACAAGAGGCCCATGGGCCACAACACTCAGATGAGTCACTATGACTCTGCAGTTCTTCATCAGCAGAGTTTCTCCTTTGAAAGCCCATTGTGGCCCCACCCAAAACACACAGGGTCATGTTTTGAACAAATTTGAATCTACTGTACACTACCTGAGGATGCTTTCATATAAACATGACTAATCGCGGCTTTGTTGTTCTTTTTTTCTATATATTTCTATGTAAAAATTTGATTGTCCATTGTGGCCCACCTTATACCCGGGGGTCATAATTTAATATACTTGAATCTACACTACCTGAGGATGTTTCCATATACATATGACTTATAGCCATGAAACTGCTGTTCTTTGAAAGATTTTTAATGATTTTCCAGATATTCCAATGTAAAACTTTGATTGCCCATTTTTGCTCCACTCTACTCCTTGGGGGTAATGATTTGAACAAATTATCTGAGATTTTAACATATAAAGATGACTAACCATGGCTTTGCTGTTCTTAAGAAGAAAAATTTTCAAGATTACTATACATTCTAATTAGAATCTAAACTATGTGAAGATGCTTACACATAAATATAACTAAAAATGGCTTTGCTGTTCTAGATCTTGAGAAGAAGATTTTTAAAGATTTTCTCTATATATTCGTACGTAAAATTTTGACCGGGGGTCATGAATTGCAGAAAATTGAATCTTCATTACCCGAGGCTGCAACCATAAAAATATGACTAAAATGGTTTTGCTGTTCTTGAAGACAATTTTAAAGGTTTTTCCTATACATTCCTTAGTAAAACCGCCCGCTTTTGTCCCACCCTACCCTCGGAGTGCATCCTTTGAATATTTGAATCTACACTACCCGAGGATGCTATTTATATAGTAAATTTATGGCTTTGCTGCTCTTCAGAAAAAAGGTTTTTAAAGATTTAGTTTTATATATTTTGATCGACCAATGTAGCCCCCACCCAACCCCAGAGGTCATATGATTTGAGCAAAACCTGAGGATACTTTCATATAACTATGACAAGATTTGAACA